TCACGGCTGGTCCAGATAGTGAGAAAGATCTAATTCAAGATAGAGAGTCCATATGGAGCAAAGCTTATGATGAATCCACTCAAGGTGGTGCATTTGGACTTCATGGATGCGGTATCACAAAAACATAGGCCAATAAACTCAAGGAAGACTTTCAAATCTATGTCAAGGGATTGATCCATAAAAAGGAGAGTCTTGGGCTAAACTTTGAAAGTCTTAAAAAGGGAAGCTGAGCCCATCAAGTCAAGGGAAGAGGCGGCCAAAAACTTGCCCTACAACAAGGGCAAATCGGACCCTTAAAGAGTCCTACACCTCAAGGACTCTCGGCCACTCATCCATAAGGAGTTTTATCCTCCTGCAACTCAACAAAACCAAGCCAACAAGAGTCCTAAAGATTCAGGACAATTTGGATTCGCTCATGAGAGATTTTCTCTCATGCATGAGAAAATTTATCTCACACAAGAATTTTTCTCCTTTATCTCTTTATGATCGGTCAGCTCCTTCTCAAGAGTTTTATCCATGTGCAGCTCATGTTAAGTCATCCAAAAAGGAGTCCAACAATCATAGGAATTCGCCCACCAAGATTCCTACAAATTCTATAAGCAATCGGCCAACATAAAGAGTCCTTAACTCCTTGAACTCTCGGGTTGGCTTATGTATTTTACAAGTGGAAGCTGTCCACTTTTCTTGGAAAGAGTCATAGCTGAACAATCCTCTTTTCTAAGGCTTATTAAAGATGTGAATCATGGGTCCTAAGAATCTTGGACACCTGATTATTCCTCCTTCCACAACCTTGGCCAAACACAACTCTAGTAATGATTGGTTTTCAATTTCAAGTAAGTCTCATTTTTTTTAGATAAAAATAATGTATATTAAGTACAAGACACTAATGGGGTATCACTTATGTACAAGGCAGTTACATATAAATCATCCCATCCATATAAATCATGCCCAAGAATTAGAGTCCCAAGAATATGAATCCACCTATCATTAATCCTGCTCAAATCCCCCACACACCCATCAAATGCTTTGTAGTTCCTTTCTTTCCAAACCACCCAAAATATAATTAATGGTATTAGATTTACAATTTTCGATTTCTTATAAATCCCATCCCATGCCCAAAACTCATTCTTGACAGAACCCCTAATAACCCAATTGATATCCAGTAACTCATATATCATATACCATATGCTATAAGTCACTAGACACCAAAGAAGAAGATAGTTGCAAGATTCTGCCACTTCCTTACATAAATAACACCCATTGACCATAATGTAACCTCTTCTCATCAGTTTGTCTATAGTGAGAATACATTCTCGACCAACTTCCCAAGCAAAAAAAATAATTCTGGAGGCGCCTTCACTTTCCAAATCTGTAAAGCCAGAACCCTCTCACTGTCACCATCACTATTGGCTAAGTAATCATAAAAGGACTTAACAGTAAAGGTACTATCTTTCTTTAATTTCCATACAGCCTTGTCCTTGGTAGTTTCCAGGTGTACATCGGCCAATAAGTGTAGAAGCAAGGTAAAACTCCTCAACCTCCCAATCATTGAGGTTTTTAGTCAAATGTAAGTCCCAACCACTCCTCCCATCAACCCCTCTGAAAACCTCCTCCATCACCACATTTTTCCTTAAAGTTAAAGCATAAATTCTTGGAAACTGCTCTCTAAGTTTTTCCCTCCCAATCCACTCATCCTCCCAAAAATTAATGATATTTCCCCTCTTGAGTTTCCAGTGAATACAATTAAGGAAATGAGAATGCCCTAAACTGGTCTTCCTCCAAAGTCGCACACCATAAGGCCTAACCACCCCCCTTATCACTCCCTCTCCCAACAAGTGTCCCCCACCTCGCCTTAATGACCCGATTCCACAACCTCCCCTCCTCTTATATGTATTGTCACAACCACTTCTCCTGTAAGGCTCTGTTCAGACCCACCATAGACTAGAGACCCAAACGACCCCTACTAATAGGATTCTTCAATTCCTCCCATTTAACCAAATGATATTTTTTGCTCCTCTCATCATCCCCCCCCACAGAAATTTACATTGAATATTTTTCAATTTCTTAGCAACTTTAACAGGAATAGTCGATGCTGATAAAAAAATAAATAAGGAGATTGGTGATGGTGCTTTTGATAGTGTTAACCTCCCCCCTTTTGAAATAAAGTTCTTTTTCCACTCTGCAAGTCTACACTCAAATAAATCAATCACTAGATCTCAAGTTCTCACATCTTTAAATTTAGCTCCTAATGGTAATCTTGGGTATTTAATAGGCAACTGCACAGAATTGCAACCAAGAACCTCAACCAACCTGTCGCCATCACCCCTATTCCCCAACTTTACCAGTTCAGACTTAAACAAGTTTATATTCAACCCAGAAACAGCTTGAAAACATAGAAGCACGCATTGAAGATTCAAGATCATCTTCTTCTCTGGTTGGCAGAAAATTAAAATATCATCTGCAAAGAATTGATGGGAGACTTCCACTTGATACCCACCTCTATCCACCACAATTTCTTTCAACAAGTCCTCGTCCCTGGCTTTCAAGAGTAATCTATTCAATGCTTCTATAACAATGATAAACAAAAATAGAGATAAAGGATCCCTTTGTCTCAAACCTTTGGAAGCCCTGAAAAAAAAAAAAGAAGGATCATTATTGACGATGATTGCAAACGAAGCAGTAGTGATACACGCCTTCATCCATCTTTCCACCTCCGGCCAAAATCTATTCTACCCAACATATAATCAACAAAGTCTTAACTAATGTGATCATACACCTTTTCCATATCTAATTTACACAAAATCACATCATTCCCACTACTCAACGCATCATCCACCACTTTACTAGCCACCAAAACAGCATCCAGAATTTATCTTCCCTCCACAAAAGCATGTTGACATTCACCAATCACCTTCCCTAACACCTGAGACAATCTTCTAGCTAGTACCTTGAAAATGAGCTTGCAAATGCATCCCACAAGATTGATAGGTCTGAAATCCTTAATATTTCTTGCTCCTTCCACTTTGCCAATCAGAACAATAAACGTTGAATTAAGATATTTCAGAAAAGTATCAGTTTGATGTAGTACCTTAAAGATGTTCATCAGATCTTCCTTAATCAATAGCCAGAAATCCTACAAAAATTTCATGTTGA